CCCGCGGGGAGCGGCCGGGTTGGCAGCGCGGTGCCCCGCGGGGAGCGGCCGGGTTGGCAGCGCGGTGCCCCTCAGGGAACGGCCGAGTTGGCAGCGCGGTGCCCCTCAGGGAACGGCCCGGAGCGGCCGGGGTTGGCAGCGCGGTGCCCCTCAGGGAACGGCCCGGAGCGGCCGGGGTTGGCAGCGCGGTGCCCCTCAGGGAGGGGCCGGGGTTGGCAGCGCGGTGCCCTGAGGGGAAAGGCCGGGGTTGGCAGCGCGGTGCCCCGCGGGGAAAGGCCGGGGTTGGCAGCGCGGTGCCGGGCGCGGCCCCTCCCTCCCTCCCCGGTGTCTCGGCGCTGTCCGCGGTGCTGAAGCCGGCCGCGGCCATGTTCCTGCCGTGTGCCGGCCCTGGCTGCCCCCGCCGCTCTCGGGCGCTGCAGCGCTCGGGTCACGGCAGCGCTCACCCACGGCCTGTGTGTCATACACCGCATCGCGCCGGTGTCGGATGCTGACAGCAAAATCAATGGCAAATGCCACAGCGCTTTCTCCTTCGGAACGCGAGCGCTCCCAGCAACGCAGATTTTTTTGTAGCCAACTTGTAACTTAACGTTATCTATGTGAAATGGAAGTGTGCGGATGAAACCAGCAACTAGACAAGAACTTGGTATTCGCTGTTTTTAACCACAGGCTCAGTTTATGAAAGGATGTTCTGAAACAGGATGTCATCAGTGGACACGAAATAACCACTCGTGGCACAGGGAAGGTTCAGGAAAAACCTGGTATCCATTAGCAGCAGTGCAAACACATGCATAGGATTTTCTCCTTTTTTCCTCTATTTAAAAAAGACAAATTTAGAAAGGTGTGCTGTCTAGCAGATCTTTTTTTCCAAATTCACTTTAATGTGCTGCAACATCTCTACCACATGAAAAAGAAAAGACTTTTTTCATCTCAGAGACAAGCATTCATTTTCTGTAATTGCACACTGGATGTTTCAAATACAGTTGCACAATAAAAGGCAAATATGCTCCTCTGGTGTAATGTGTAGAGGCTGACAAAAAAAAATACAAAGCCAACATGGTGTGTTTCATATTTTAAAAATATACATTCTGCTTCTAAAAATAGAATTAATTGATATGCAGAATGAATTGACCTTCAAATTAAAGGTCAGAGGTGACAAACCAGGACAAAGGTCATGCAGCTCATTTTCAAGCAATCAGTTTCTAGTTTTTTCATAGTTGAACAAAAGCTTATTTATACAGAAGGGTAAGGACTGTAATACCTAACTAGTCAGTTCTAACAAAGAAATAGAAGTAGTTTTACACAATTCCCTATTTTATTGAATGTAGTTCTGTTAGGGAAATATTTGTGCTGTTACTGGTGCAAAATGTCTGTCTTAAAACATTTAAATGCATTTCTTAAGTTAACATGTAATAATCCACCATCTGTACTTAATATTACTTACTGCTTCAGAGATGAGAGGGTTGTGTAGCCATTTTCTGATTTTTCAGCTATTTTAGCAAAAAATCCTGCTTATGCTATTGTTTCAATAAAGTTAGATTGCAGGTCCATTCATTTTGGTACTCATGCACATACTTATTATTTCTAGCAAACCACTTCCCCATAATCCTACTTTCAGTCTGCAGCATGCTGTATGTCCAAATGCAGTAATTAGAGAGACTTAATACCTGACTGTTTAACAAGTATGTGTATGTGATAATTATTTTATTATATGCACTAAGATTCAGTGTTCTAACAATTTGAAGGTATTGGTTCAGTGTTTATATCAGTAATATCACATTTAAATTAAACCAAGCTTTCATAAATATTCTGAAGGTATTTAACAAATATCCTATAGGGTGACCATATGCAGTAATGAAACACCTAAGGATAACTACTAGAAATTCAACTGTTAAAATGTGTACACTCACTCACTAATAATTTTGTATCACATATTAGGTTTTTTGCTTTTTTTCAGATACTTTACATCCTGTACCTACTTCAGCTACTGATGTGTACATTGTTTTTAAAGTTTTCATCTTTTCTTTTAGATATTGTGAATTTTAGTTATATATCACTGATGTTCTTGTTTACTTTTTTTCCCCTATTTGAATTAATAACCTATCTCCACGAAAGCTTATAAAAAGTGACTATTGCATTATTTGTTTGGTTGTTTTAAACAATGACTCAGTTAGAAGCCATTGACATACAGGACTGATGTCCACTCCAGCTGAAATGGGAAAGATGTGCCCTGAACTATCCACTCTTCTAGGAAAGTGAATATTGGTGTTTGAAATACAGACACTCATCTGCTCTTTACCTTCTACAATGTTTGATTTTATTATTTTAATGGGCAATACTTGATAAGCATATTGCAAAATACAAATTATTATAAAATCCATCATTAGTAGTGCTCTCAAGTAATAATTAAGTGATTTAAAAACCCAACAAAAATTAAGAAATAAGATTCTGTGGTTTGTAGATAAATAGCACATGCAAATAAGACAAAAGTCCTGTGCAAAGGAAGAGATATGTGAAGGTGTGTAAATTCCCTCAAAACAAGTGTTAATGGAAAACATTTCAGAAAAGAGATCTGAACAAACCATAATAAAATTGTTATAAAAGTAAATGAAAATTATTCCATTTTTAAAATAAAAATTGTAGTGCCATCACTTTTGACAGGATGATATTAAAACCCTACTTGGCTGCAGTATTTTTATAACCTAGGTGAAGTTGTAAGTTACACAAATACTGAATTCAGCTTGTCATAAGATTCGTTCTTATTTTGACCTTTAGCAGGGTTCTTTTTCAGTACTTCATTTGGCATTGTTTTGTTTGCAAATAGGTATCAAGTGGGGAAATAGAATCTTACTCTTTATATGTAGTTTCTCACAGAAATAAATAACAAAATAAATGATCAAGCTCTGAAAAATGTTATCTACTTATAATTTCAGAATTAGGGCTTTTAAAGTTCTTTTCCTTACAAAGTACTGATATGAAGTAATTTAAGAAGTACAAAGAAAAAATCCATCTGAAAACGTAATAAGATCACAAGGTGGTTTTCTCATTGTTTCATTTGCTGTATAGCAAATCGATGTGTAGCAATTTCAAATGCCCCTGCTAACAGTAAACTGGGAACAAAATACTTTAAATATGTAGGAAGTAGAACAGTAGTGATCCATTTTTACATTGTGTGTTTAAAAATTTCCTCTTTGAATCACAGAACATTGTTTGAAACATACCTGGTTTACATTGCTTTTTAATTATATAATTATGATCATTGTTTAATATATGAATATTCAAATGCAGACCATAAGAAATTGCAGATTTTAATAAATCAAATACACTAAATATGAAAATTGTATCTAATTAATTTCAATCCTTTAAACAAAAATAACCTTGTTCAGCATATTCCTTTGTTATGTAATATTAACATTTCAAACTAAATAAATAGTTAATAGTTTTTATTGCTTAAACAATTGTCAGTATAGTAGTAGCATTTAATTTTGAGGAGAAACTCTGATCCTAGAGTAGTTAGGCTTTCATTGGCTCCTGTTCTGATACTGTGTGGAGTTCTTTACCCTTTTTATTGCCCAAAAGAATCAGATTCCTAACAATGGTGGAAGCACATTTTGCCTTTCTTTGTTCCAGTTCTCACTGTAGTCAAATGACATTCTTACACATAATTAAAAGGTGTATAACTGGATGTTTGTTTGTTCATTTCCTAAAAACTAAGATATGCTTAGCCTCTTTCATATCAGAAAAAAAAAACAACATACCTGGCTATTGCCTAGCTGTGTTATTTACCTGAAGATGTAGTTACCTTCCTTCAGATCAGTGACAAAAGTGAGTGAAATTAGCAAAGAAAGCAAAGTTTTCATTTGTTAGTTGTTCAATTAATTTCCTTAAATTAGCATTGTGAAAATATTTTTAAATATCTCATGCATGCTTGCTTTCACCTTCACATGCTAGAAAAGTACTGTAATGGTGTATAAACAGAAATATGGAAGAAAAGCAAAGAAAATTATGGCTAAACAAAGAATAAAATTGTGAGAGCTTTCAGCTTTATCCACCCTCTCATTACATAAGGACATTAACACTTGAGTGTACCTTTTCTGGAAACCTTAATTTTTCTTATATATGCATTTCAAAGTAACTATATTGAACTGAACAAAATGAAAAGGAGGAAAAAAGAGTTTCAACAATAAAAACATCTCAGGAGGAAATCCAATATTTAGAATTGCACATTGAGGAATCTGTGTAAAACATGTAAATTCAGAGTGCCAGACAACACTCATTTGTGAGATTTGAAATCAAAATACTGTGTGCATAATGCTTCTATCAGCAGTCAGGAACAGTAAATAAGATTAATTTTTACTGACTGGTTCAAATGACAGCAAAGTTTGTTAATATATCTGACTGGTGTGTATGTGTATATGGATACATTTTAAAAGCTCATGTTTTATGCTCTTACTATGCTTAGGTTCTGTCCACAGAGTTTTAAAATTTTGTATAAGCTTTGCAACATTCATCCATTTAAGTCTTCACTCCTGCTGAGTTAACTGAAGGAAGATCCTTTCAACACTGGAATGTTTTCCCCTATTCCTTTGCATCATTATTTTCCTTGTTTGTTATAAAATAAAGGATTGGTGGGTTTTGTTTTCTAGTTCTTTTACTCTCTAATCATACTTACAGTACCCAGCATTCTTTTAAAAAATACTGCTGGCTTTACTCTGGAAGAAAACAGTCCCCTGGCTACCTCGGTGAAAGAAACGAGTTTAACATATTAATTTTTCTTTTCAACTTACTTTTGGAGGAAAGTGTATATCTTAAATGGAGTAACTATTTATTTCTGCTTTACTTTCTTCCAAACAAACAATGTTTCTAAATTCTTTGGTAAATTCCTGCTTAAGGTAATAAATTCAAAACAATCTATATCTCAGAGAATTCATTTTAGATACAAACTTATTAATTTTTTACTGATCAATAAGTTTTCAAAAATAGATTACATAAGCTGTAAAGTTAGTTCAATTACAGGATATCCTACTTGTAAGGGAAAGTGGATTACCTTTGTTGAGTGTCTGTCAGTGTGCCTTTACACTTCTCATTGTATTTTCTATCCAGCAATAATTCCATATTGTGTTCTCTCGCATTATTTTTCATGCTTACTGTTACAGTATCCTTCCACATGCTGTGAATGCCTGGTAAAAATGAGGATTGCTTTCAAAGCTAGTGACTTTTTCCCTGAAAACATCTTGCTGTCTAGTACACAATTCCTCAGCAGCATTTATTTACTTACTTGCAGTTACAAAGTTCATGTAAATGCCAAGATAGTTTCAGAAGTAAAATGCCAAAATAATTATTTGGTTTGTACAGGATAAGCAGGCACAGGACAGTTCACCATGAGCCATTTCAGAGACCAAACCTGCTTCCATTTAAATCAGGAACTGATTTTGTATGTCTTTCAGTAGGATACAGTAAAATACATGCCAGAATAATTCCTCATTTAAACTGTCTATTTAAATGAGTTAATAGAATTGAAATGCCCAGGCTCTTCTACACTAACACATCTATATGCCAAGCTTTAAGAGTTGCATCAGGAAGCTTTTTGTAATAATTATAAAAAAATTAGGTATCCATGTTTCTGCTTAATAATCTGTGACTCTCTAGAATATGTGATGCTTAAAAATGTGTTACAAAATGACAATACTGGAAACAAGAATAGCTTGAACTTCTCCTGTTTTCTGCTACATTTTTTAAGAACTGTACTTTCTTCCTTTGAATCCCAACACCACTCCCCCAAATACTTATTTTTAATCCCTTCATAAACTGAAGCAGGCTATGTTCCAAAGCCAAGAACGGATCCTTTACTCTATGCTTGCATATTTCATTATGTTGCATAAATAATGCAGGTAAATCTGAAACACACAAAAGCCACATGGCCACAGGTTGGCAGAACAAAGAAGCAGATACAAGAGATTGGGCTTCAGTGCTTGAAGGTGTAAAAGCAGAGTTAGGTTTAGTACTAGACAAAAGTCCACACAATTCCATTGGAAAACTTAGTTACTACAAAAGAAGAGGAACTGAATCAGGTTGCCAGTGTTGTTGCACTGAAAAGAAAAATTGTACCACCCCCTTTTCCCATTTCTGGTGTATGAAAGTATTCAGGATATTTAACTGTAAGGGAAAAGAAGTTAGAGAAAATTGGTTCTAATTTGTCTTTGTTCATTCTTGTGACCTTTCTCACTCCTAGTAGGATATCCAATTCTATTTTTTGTTTTTTTAGTAAGAGAGCAGGATAGCTGTCCAGATGTCCTCTTAGATTGGAAAAAAAGACAGAACTCAGATTTCTCTAAAACAGAAGAGAACCAGGCTTATATCTAAGCAGGTTGATACTGCAATTCCTTGTTTCTTTTTGCATGGGTTTTGGTTAACATGGATTATTCAGAAAGGTAGTAGGGTGACAGGAAGACAGGCTTGTGGCAGGTGAGTTTGTGAATGCTCCTGTCTATTCATCCTTCATTTGTTAAGCAAACTGGACAACCTAAGTAAGAAGAATACTCCAAAACCAAGGTATTTTCCTTAATGCTTCATGCCATCTGCAATGGGTTTCTTCTGTGTGATGTTTTCGTTGACATGATACAAAATAAGCCAGGCCTTTTTCAACTAGAGCAAAAATACACCTTTTATGAAGTTTCAGTCAAGTCAGACATGTATATTTGTACGACTGCTTGATTTTGTTTAGATTGAGACCTAGAATTTAATATTATTACATACTGTGCTCTGCAGTTTTATAAGTCATAACTAAAAGCATTTTTATGTTGATACTCATAAGTTGGCATTGAGTTACTATTTTGATCATGAAAGAATTCTGGAGAATTATTTTTATTGGCTTTTCTTAAATCATATACAAGGTATGACTTGATTGTTTATTATGTACAATTTAAGCATAGTAAAGACAACTCACTAGTTCTTAGGTTACCTACTGCAATTAAATATTGATAAAGGAAAATAACACCTTCCAATATTCTGCAAATCTGTGTGTTTTCCCTCTTGTCATCAATTGTGTAGCTTTCATAAGAGACTAATGAAAGGGGTAATGCTTTTACTGGTGCTGGGGGGCGAGGGGAAAAGCAGCACTTAATTTTTTTCTCTTGGTTATCTCACTGTGGTTCTGATGAGCTAGGTAAGTCTCACACAGTAGGTTTACAGGTCACTTCATAGAGTCAGTGCCCTGGCATTTTATGGCCTCCTAATGAGCCGTTAAACGGGAGCTGAGGTAATTAAATACGGTACTCTGGGACAGTGAACGCGGTACTGACTCCGGCTCTCTGATTTTAGGTTCCTCAGAAGACGATGAGGTCATTCAAGAAGGTCTCCTCAGGCTCAGGTCAGTCTTCTCTCCAGCGTCTTACGTGGCTGACTGTGTATCTGTAAAACTGAGGTGCTTCAGCTGACCCTCATGAACTAATCACTGGGTGGGATGGGGAAGAACCGCTGATTTTGTCCACAGCTTCAGAGTTCTTGTTGGATGCAGTCTTGAGTGTTCGGCTTCTGTAAGAAAAATAAACAATTACATAAGGAAAGTTTATTTACAATAATCGCATGTCGCATACCTGTCGCAAATGGTGGGAGCCCACGGGTTCGTGTGAGCGCTGCGGGACCATCCCCGCGGCAGGCGCGCCGGTGGGCGCGCACACCTCAGTCACGGCTCAAATTCAAACACGTTATTGCCGCGCCGCTGCCACACTGGCGCCACGCACCTCCTGCGACTGCGGCGCCTCAGCAGTGCCGTCTGTCCGTCCCCCTGCCCGTCTATCCATCCCTCTGCCCGTCCATCCCCCTGCCCGTCCGTCCGTCCCCCTGCCCGGGCGCCCTCCGTGCCCTCAGGGGCGGCGCATGCGCGGGCCGGGGCGCGGAGCTCCCCGCGGAGCGGCGCTGCGCCCCCGAGGGAAGGGCGCGCGTCCCAGGGACACCGCGACCCGCACCGCGCTCCCGCAGCGGTGGGAGGCCTGGGGCGGCGATGGCAGGCGCCGGGGCTTGGCTGTGTGCCAGGGCGGGAGGAGCTGTCCGTGTCACCGCAGGCCAGAGCGCGGGGCACTTGCCCGTCGGGGAGGATGAGGCGCGCTGAGGCCGCGCTGTCCCGCCGGAGGGGACGGGCTGCAGCGAAAGCGCCCGAGGCGCGGACCCGTCCGCTCATCGTCCAGCGGCTGCCGAGCGGGCGGCGAAGCGGTGACACCGGGCCGTGTGGCCGGTCCCTCCGCGGTGGCCGGTGCTCCCTGCGGGGCGTTAGCCCTGTCAGACGGTCTCCCGCGACGACTTCCAGAGCCTCCTTAAATCCCCCGGGGAAGCGGCCGCTATCAGTTGCAAATCCGCAGCTGGGAGACGGTTAATGTACGTGAGACCACATCCTGCACCCGAGGGAGCGCCTCCCGCGTCCTCTCGCGCGGGATCGCAGTAATTGGCAGCGGGATCACAGTAATTGACAGCACTTTCAGGAGTTCCCCGCAAAGCGCCGGCGCGCCCGGCAGAGGTGCACGGACGGCAGGGCGGGCCCGCACCCACGGCCGCCGCTTCTCGTTCCGACAGACCGTGTTCGCAAAGCCCGTGCCCGAAACCGCGCTCCGACCCCAGCTCTAGCAGCGGCGCTTGCGAACCCCGGCGGGGGCTGCCCCGTCCCCATGAGGGAGCAGGGGGGGCTCCGGGCATCCGTGGGTGTGACTGCTGAGGAGCGTCGGGGAAGCTAAGAACCCGAGCTGCTGCGGCGGCCGGGAGTGAGGGGACAGAGGCGCTTTCTGAGCCCTGAAATGCAGTTTGGAAACTGCATTTCCCGAAAAGAGCCGCGGTTCGGTACGGGAGCGGTGCGAAGGCGCCAGCATAAAGCCTCTAACTTCATACCCGCAGCCGTACGTCGGGCAAATCCCGTCCCTGCTCGATCCGAGCCGTGGCACCGCGCAGTTGGGCCGGCGGCGTTTCGGGTTTTTTTTTATAAAAATAATTACAAATTGCACATTTTCCACTCTTAATGCTGGCGTTTTAAAGAGAGGGAATCAGCCCGACCAGGGGAACTGGCGGTGTCCCGAGCGCGTCCGACCCTGCTCTCGCTAAGGCGCGGGAAGGCACCGCCACCACGTCCCCGCCCAGAAGGAGCCGCATTTTCGGGGCAGTGTTAAACAAAAGCCCGGGGGCAAAGCCCGGCTTTGGGCAGGGTTGGGGGGACAGACCCGCCGCCTCCCGGGCCCTGACGGCGGGCTCCCGACTCCCGCCCTGCCGGCGGAGGCGCAGCGGTGGAAGCGGCCCCGGCTCCCCGGGAGCGGCACGGCCACACCGGGAGCGGGGCCCGGCGGCCACCCCCGCCCTCGGCCGGGCGGAAAGGGAAAGCGGCTTTGGCGCCCAAAATGTAGGTGAGAGGGTTTTGGCGGGAACAGCTCCGCACCGGCACAGCCTCCCGGCCGCAGGAGCGGCGGGAAAGGCCCCCCTCCGTCCGCACATCTAGGAAGAGCCGCTGTCGGTGGAGACCGTGCAGGAAAAACACGACGGCCATCTCATTCGGTGCGCCACCGGCGGGGCGGCGCCGAGCTGAGAGAGGGGACAGCGGCGCCGCGCCCGCCCCCCCTGCCCCTCCTGCCCCTCCTCTCCCTCCTCTCCCTCCTGCCCTCCTGTCCCTCCTGCCCGCCCCTCCTGCCCCTCCTCTCCCTCCTGCCACTCCTGTCCCTCCTGCCCCTCTGCCCGCCCGTCGGCGAGTGGCGCTGCCCGTGCTTTGAAATGGGAATGGCAGCAGCAGCCCGAGCTCTGCTTTCAAGTGAAAAACACGCGTTTTGTTTCAAATGCACAATTGCGCGCGGCTCCGCCGTTTGTTTTGGATTTTTGTGGTTTGCTTTTTCCCCTGTTTTCTTTTTCTTTTTTCTTTTTTCTTTTTTTCTTTTTTTTTTTTTTTTTTTTTTTTTTTGAGATGGGGTCTTTTTTGAGAAGGCGAGTAGTATTGTAGTATTTTCGGGGAGGGGGGTTGTGCGATTTTTGCCTTGTTTTGGTTTTGTTTAGGGGACTAGAAGAAAGCAAAGTTAGGACTTAAAAAGCTTTAGGAAGGTGACAAATAGGAAATCCAACACCACTGGTTTTGGTTACATAGTTTCAGGCGAGCTCTTGCTGTGCATGTGGAAAGACAATGATTCCAGCTTCCTATAATTGTCTTTTCCAAAATTAGCATCTGTTTAGCGAAATGTAAGGATAGAAGTTGATTTAAAAAAGAAAAAGTAAACTATTACTATGAAACTAATTTTTTCCACGAACTGGCTTGTTCTGTAGGGTTTTCTTACCTCTTCCCTCCTCCTTTCAGAATGAATTTTGGAAGGGTGTTGGTTGGGGTTCCTTTTATTTCTTTTTAATTTCTTTTTTCTTTTACCCGGAGAGTTCCCAGCTGGCAACAGCTCTCTACCTTCCACAAAACTTGAAAGGCTGATGTCCCTTGCAGGAAATGAATGAGTCGATAACATCTGACACCAGTGACCAGTCCAGTGACCCCAACCTTAATTCCACTAATACTGGAGGCCTGAAAATCTCCGTAAAGACACATTGCAAATCCCACCCCCACTCCATTTTACAAAATCTGCGCTTATTTTGCAACCTAAGAAAAACTTTGCAACCAATATATTTACATTTATTTATTTACGTGGTTTAGTAGTCGTTCATTTATTCATCGAAGAACATATAGTGAATTTTCTTTTCACTGAAATTTGCTAACAAGACATTTTGTCCATTTAATGAACTCAATCAACTCGTTTGTGTCTTTTTAACCAATATTCTAGCCTCTAAGGATTTTTTTTTAATTCCGAATACCGGTAAATTAAATCGATCTTTTAAAATAAAGACTTTAAAAACTTTATTAAACCGGTATTTTCTTTCTTTTTGAGGGGCAGAGGGATCTTGCATTTTATTAATGTGCCATTCTGCTACATAGTAGATATGTAGTCTTGGGCAGTTCAAGTAAGTGGTGTAATGATTGTTTTCTTCCAATAACCTTAATTTCTTGTTCATAACTGAAGTTTCGCGTTTATTAAATTCGCGTACATGTATTATATATTAGATATCGTCCGGGTCATAAGATCCAAGCATATAAAATTACTGGCGATTTAATATTGCAAAATAATCGCTGTTGTAAGGGGGAAAGGGAGGTTATGAGCCAAAAGCAGTGGTATGTAGCACGAATGCGTAAGGCAGGTCAGTGTAGGAAGTCGCCCTGACTGTTGAAATAACCTATAGGAAATTTACGGTTGAAGACTGCAAAGGAATTTCAGGATTTAAAGCTTCTGCTCCACTTGTCAGGGTGCTTGTATTTGTACACTCTTGCCCACCCTCGCCTCTTTCTTGCCAACGATCACACGGAGCCTCCACCTTGGTGTTTCACACAGGAATGAGGCGCTGGCAGGGGAATTGACGCTTTCCTGAAAGGCAACAAAAGGAGTAAACAGGCCCATGGGGGCAAAGGCGTTCCCCTTAATTGGGCAGACTGATCGACGCCACTTCCCAAACAACAGCAAGTGCTTTGCAAATGCATAAGCCCCTTGCATTGAGGTTCTGCACGGATCGGTTTGTTGCCTTGGCTTTTGTTTGTGTGTCCTTGGGATAAGAGAGGATGCTGGGGGAGGAGGGGGGAGGTTAAAAAGAAAGTCGGAGTCCTGGTTTTTACAAGGTGTGGGCAACGTTTAAAGCACATATCTATGTATACATATATATGCATGTATCTATATGTATAAACACTGCATGGAAAGACAGGTTAATGAGAGTAGGTGGTGATGAGGACAGAATACTTTAATCTGTAACTTTAAATGAGATGGGTAGGTGGAAAAATAAAACTAATTCTCCCCTGTTTGTTTTTCACGTTTCTGAAATATTATTTTACAAGCGTTTGGCCGCGCGTAGAGTAGCAGGAAGGGCAGGGCCATAGCCGTGTACCTGTGAGCGCGGAAGGGGAGTTCCCTTGCAAAGGGGCTGTTACCAAGCCCGTTACACATCACACATTTCTTCTCCGAATCGAATCCCCCCTCCCGCTGGCAGTGAAGACTTAAACCAGCAGTGCCCGGTCACCGCTATTTCTCCCCTCTTTGTCCGCTTCCCCCGAGGCTTTTTTTTTTTTCCGCCCTCTTCTCCAGTAAATCCCTCTCTCTGTCAGTCCTCTCCCAACCGCTGATTGAGGTTCACTCCAATTCTCGGCTTGAAAACTGGGCTCTTATTTAGGAAGTCATTAATCACATCCCCTCCCCCGGAAAGAGATGGCGGAGAAACCTGTGAAGTACAATTCCTCGCCCCATCCCCCCTCCAGAAATGTTGTGAAACGCTAGATCTCCGCACATTCTGGGGCATATTAAGGTGATACCGCGTTTCCGGCGCGCTTCTCATTTGAATGCGAAATTAGTCACGATCCAGTTGCGCATCTGCCCGCGCTGTGCGCACGGGGTGCCACAGATGCCTGCGGACGCTCGCCGTGCGTGTGTGCACACGCGTGTGACCCTGTTCTGTGTGTGCACACGCGTGTGACCCTGTTCTGTGTGTGCACACACGTGTGTCCCCGGTCCGTGTCTGCACACGCGTGTGATCCTGTTCTGTATGTGCACACGCGTGTGACCCTGTTCTGTGTGTGCGCACACACGTGTGACCCTGTTCTGTGTGTGCACACACGTGTGTCCCCAGTCCGTGTCTGCACACGCGTGTGTGCCCGTTCCATATCTGCACACACGCGTGTCCCCAGTCCGTGTGTGCACACACGTGTGTGCCCGGTCCCTGTCTGCACACGTGTGTCCCTGTTCCGTGTCTGCACACACATGTGTTCCCCATCTGTGTCTGCACACTCGTGTGATCCCGGTCCGTGTCTGCACACGCGTGTGACCCTGTTCTATGTCAGCACACACGTGTGTGCCCGGTCCGTGTCTGCACACACGTGTGTCCCCACTCTATGTCTGCACACACGTGTGTCCCCCGTCTGTGTCTGCACACACTTGTGACCCCGCTCTATGTCCGCACACACGTGTGACTCCTCTCTATGTCTGAACACACGTGTGTTCCTGTTTCGTGTGTCCCCGGTCCGTGTCTGCACACACGTGTGTGCCCCGTCTGTGTCTGCACACCCGTGTGTCCCCGATCCCTGTCCGCACACCCGTGTGACCCCGATCCCTGTCCGCACACACACGCGTCCCCGTCCGGGAGCATCCCGCCTCGGTGCGCGGATCCCGCCCGCGGTGGGCACGGACACCCCACATCTCCCCCGCACGGCCGCCCCTGCGTGCAGCTGTTGTTCACTGGGCTGTATCTAGAAACACACGGACCTTCCTACGGATTTCTGCACGCACGGGAGGGCAGAAACCCCAGAATAATACGTCATCTCGATTTCCCGTAAAGAAGCGTGCAGATTAGCTGTCCGAAAAGGAAGGGGAGAAAAAAAAAAAAAAAAAAGTGCCGCGTTGAAATTTCTTGTTCATTCATAAATTATTTTGGTGTGTCAGGCTACTTGAAATGGCGATTGGCTGCTCCTGCCTGCCGCCAACCCCTTAAGCATCCGATGCGAAATTAGTAGCAAGAAAGCATGTAATTGACCGAGTCACGTGTGCGCAGGGGGCCAGAAACGGAGCGAGAGAGACGGGGAAAAATCAAAAGAGGGAAAGCACATTAGACCATGCGAGCTAAATTTGCGATCGTTCAAAATCAGGATGTTAGATTAATGCAGAAGACCACTTCGATCCACAGGGAAAGTTTTCATCTCACGAGTTTGGAGCAGAGGGCCCGTGGGGCAACATGGCCGAAGGTTAATTTTCTTTTTCTATTGTTTTACTATGATTTTCGCTCTCTCGCTCGCTCTCTCCCCCTCTCCCCCCCTCCCCCCACCCTTTTTTAACCCAACTATGCATTACCCTTTTTTAGCAGCTCGCGCAAGGGGGCTTTCTCCAGACCCATTGTTACCCAGCTCAGAAACTGTTCCGTACCGCCCACACCGATTCACAACTTGAAAAGCTTTCAGGGGGCTATTGTTTGAATTGTTCCTGTTTGATTAAGCACAGTTGCAGTGGTGGGATGAGAAAACGGCCGTACACCTGTCCCAACTTTAATCGAAAGTTTATTCCAAGGAGGGATGGATACACGGTGGAAAATAGTGGTTTCGGCGCTGCATGTGCAATAAGCAGTTGTGCAATCTACCCAATTTTGCTCATTCTCTCTCCTCCACCCCTCCTCGGCCGGCCTCCCCCCTCGCCCCCCCGGTCCTGCGCCTTGCGAGGAGAGACTAATTGGGCTGAGAATTTCTGTTGAGAAATGGGATCGGTCTTAAACCAGCAATATTCAAGTAAAGTATCGCGTTCCGTGCTGTAATGTGGCTGAAAGATGGAGTTAAATGGAAAAATACACGTATGTACAGAAACGTGGGCTGCCCTGGGCTCGGAGAGAGGGAGAGCCTCCGTGCGCAGTGTTTCCTCTCTGTAACCTCCGGTGATTTAATTTTTTTACGTATTTTGGGGAGAAGGTTGTTTATTTTTAGATTTAGGAAAAATACGCACTTTTCACCGTTTGCTTTTTGATTTTGTTTTGTTCGCCCCCATTTTTTATTTTTTATTTTTTATTTTTTATTTTTATTTTTTATTTTTTTTTTACCTCGTTTTTCCGTTTGTAGTAACCCCTTCATACAGCGGCAAAAGGATGTTACCAGAATTTAACTCTTAGCTTTGCATCTTGTCCCTCTCTTCCCTGTTTTTCTCCCCCCTTCCCCCTCACACCCCCCGCCTTTCCCTCTACCTCAGCAGGGGCGAGTAAAGGTGGAGACGAGCCCGGGAAGTTGCCGGAGCAGGAGGAAGAAGAGGAATCCCAGGTTTTGCACGGGACCGGCCATTGCAAATGGTTCAATGTGAGAATGGGATTCGGGTTCATCTCCATGAGCAACCGAGAGGGAAGCCCCTTGGAGTCTCCAGTTGATGTCTTTGTACACCAAGTAAGACCCGTTTTTGTCTTCCATCTCAGCCTGCCACATTTGGTTGAGCTCAGTGGGGCTCCGGTTTTATGTGAAGAGAAGTAACCTATTTTTTCTAGGTGTTTAAGTACATCTGTAGTTAAAGAGTTGCCTTAGGTAGTGGTTTTGTTGGCAGTGTACAGTTTGAGTATAAATAAGGTCGTTAGATTGTGCTTGGTCTCTGTGGCTGGTGATTTGTGCGAGGGTATAATGTTTCTTCGTATCTTCGTCCTTGGTTGGAAAAAGTCTCCTGTGGTTTTTATTTATTTTCAAATGTCACACTTTTTAACAAGGTTTATCATTTGTCACCAGACTGATCAGGAGCAGATATGCCTTTCCTTGGAAACTGTTTAAAATTAAGCTGGGAAAAGGATAAATAAATGTCGGGTTTCATTCAGATAACATTTGAGTACAGTTTTAAACGGTTTACTTGTAAACCTCGAATTACTTTTTAAAAGCTCATCTGAGATTAGTTAGTGAAATTAAGACATAATTATAGTGTTATTTTGCAGTAATTCAGACCTGAGTGCATCCCTGTGGTGATAGTCTGAAGCGTGTATGTGGTTTGGTTGGTTGGTTTTTTAATTATTCCTTTCTAGGGAATAAAAAAAAGAGTAATTATAAAATATTCAGACCAAAAGCAGCATCTCTGTAAGGCTGTTGGGGAGACAAGGGGTGTAGGGTCCATGGTTTTAATTTTAAGCAGCATGGTTGGTTTAGTGTTTTGAACGTGGAAACTGGTATGAATGCCTTCATGATAAACGAGTTAGCAAAATAGGTATGAAATAATAAGGGAGCTTTTTCTGAGACCTGTACTGTGGTTTGTAAAGATCTTCCCTGATCCTTCTGTAAGTCTCCAGTTGCAACAGTGCTATTTTGAATTTCACCCATCTCCTCTGTGATCAGGGAAGAGAAGAGAGCTCTCAGGTAGAGAGACCATTTTGGGCTTGGCTAGGGCCATGTTAGGGAGGCAAAAGGCATCTTTTTCCACTTTTTACGTGGCTGTCCGTTTGCTGTGACGTCTGCAATGACGGTGAAGGGGCTGTTCCGTGGTCATAGAGTGACTCCCTTCTAATTGTGCGTTTGGTGGCCCGGCTTTATTCTGCAGTAACTTTATCAGGCTTTTTTAAATCATACACCTTTGATTAGGTCAGTGAAAAGGTGGCTGAAACTTCTGCAGAATGTGCTGCTGTGGCAGGGTGGGGTGGATTTCTGTCCTGGTGCCTTACACACACGTGCCCTGGCACCTCCGATACAGCTGCTTGCATTTGGAATTATGTACAAAACACAGAATCCAGTAGTGAACTCACTAAATTCCTACACTTCCTGCTTTGTACTGCCATATAAACTGCCCCCTCTTTGCTGCTGCTTTTTCTCTTTAGAACTGAATGAATGAAACACTTATCAAAGAAGGAGCAGTCTTCCTCCTTTTCCCCTTTTCTTCCCTTCTTTGTATCTTAAGTCACGAAGTTGCTTTTTACAGTTCCATGAATTTACTTTAAAGATAAAACTCCCTCTTTCTTAATGTAATTTTGTGTTAATGTATGTAATTTTTTTGCTTCTTGAATTGTAGAAGACAAATATTTAAAACATAGCAGTGCTGTTAATAAAAAACACATTTGGAAACAAAGATATTCTTAGAGCTATGGAAATAGAGAAGTATTGAACTGCATGATAACCTGATACATTTAAGTAATACTAGACAAGGTTTTCAGTTTCATAATGGAAAGTAGTCATAGAAAATAATAAAGTAGTTGTAAATTTGAAGGTCTCTGTTGAGTTGTGTTCCCTAAAGGAAGGGAAGAGAAGGAAATGTTAGACAAGTTTGTTTATTACAGTTTAATAATCTACAATTTATCCATACCCTTGGGTTTCTAAGACAATCAGAGTGTAAAATGCAGTGAAAAATACCATGTTTCATTGCATGTTAACTGTGTGCCTCTGTCATTTTGAGTTTACTTAGAGATATGTCTTACTGAGTGAAGTTATTATTAGTATTTTGCAATGAATTGCTCTTGCAGCAAAGTATGTTACTCATCATTTTCATTCTGATGAAATCTAAGGTGTGTCTATGTAAACTTCGTGGTGACATGAATCTTCTTTCCATCAGTTTTCTGTGTAGTGTAACAGGGAGAACTACTATCTGTTGTATTTCAGAGTACATTTTAGATAATTGTTATTGTTATATAGAATGCTTTGTTAGCTAACTAGCTGACCAGTTCTAGCAGTAGCAGCCAGAGCATAAAAATGTCTTTAATTCTGTAATGTTATTTAATGCTCCTGCTTGTACAACAGTCTGTTGCCTGAGCAGTGGTTGGACCCTATTCCTATTAGTTTCTTTAATTTGAAAAAAATTTGTCACGTGAAGGGTCCTTTTCAAGGCAAAGATGTTAGTTTATTAATCTGTTGAAACAAAACCCTACTGTTCAAAATGCTTTGAAGATACTTCATCATTTAAGTGTGTGCAGGTGGTGTTGCATGCATTCATTTGCTCTTTCTGCGGTGTTTGTAGCTAATAGTATAATTTTATAGAATTAAGCAGTGTGAGCAAGGGAGAGAAGCTTCTAGTTCACTTAGTCTAAGTCCTGTCAAAGCTAGCTTGAACCCAACAACAGTGTTTTTACTTTCTTATCTTACCCTTTTTTGGTGAGGTTATGCCCAGTTTCTGAGATCTTGCTATGAGCAAAAACTTACAGTATGTCAAGTCAAAATTCCTGTAATAGTTTAAGCTCATTATACCTAGACTTTTGAGCTTGCAATAAATAATTTTCCTTTCTTCTTGGAGTTCCCCCTTAGCTAAGTGTGGATTATAGTCACATTTTTCTAAAGTCAGTGCTTGCTAATTGTATATATTGATATATTTTTAGAGGACCATGCTTTTGTTTGGACTTCTCTTCCCCTTCACCCAACGAAAGTCCTATTCACAAAACAGCTGCAGTATTGAGTTTTTAACCCTGCCTTTCAAGTCCTTCCTTTGGTGTTAATCATTTCGATTGATCTCCTCTGAACTACCTTCAGACTGTTGCTACCCTTCTGGTAATGAAGTACCTCGAGCTGGATGCATTATTTAAGGTAGAAACACGTCAGCCATTATATATGTGCACCTGTGTGTCTACAGTGTGATTTGGTACACTTACACACGTCCAGTCTTTTTCTTTTTAGCTCTATTCTGATGCAGCTTAAATCTTTAAGTCTTGTGCTTGAGTCATTCAGGGTCATATAAAAATTATGAGTCCTAAAAACAATTTGATTTTTTTGAACAGAAGCCATGCTCAGTGCAGCAATGTGCCAAGTCAACTCTGTTTCTTCTCAAAAAAAATGGAAGAGTAGCAATGATAGTCCTTTGTAACCTTTTTAAATCCAAGGACTGTGCACCTTACTGGAATGAATAATACAGCTTGTTTCTCTTTTGTGATGTGAATTCTGGACCTAGTTATGTGTGAGTGGCTCTTACTAAATTTTAGAAGAAGATCTATTTGTCAAAGGGTAAAGCAGACTGGAGAGGTGAAGCGAGGGAAACCTTTTGTGGTGCACATGAATAAAGGTCTTCAGTGCAAAGAACTCAGAAGAGCTGAAGTTCTCATAGAATCAGAAAAGGATGATGTTTGTTACATTTTTTTTGCACATTCAAAATTAGACAACTTAAATATATACTACTTCTTTTGGATGCTGGCAGTAAGGCAAAAATGCTGTTTATTCTTTTTCACACACACTTTGTACAGACTAAGTTAGAAACAAGTCTTTTTTCCTTTGTTAGTGTGAAGCACAGATGTTAAAGATGATCATGAGCTGAGGGGTGCTGAATGTAAACAGATGCAATTAAATGTATGGTTGTGAGTATTGAGGGTTAAGAATTTATGTCTGTTTCTCAATAATGTGCTTTTTCAGGATGGAATGGATTGTTCAGTTTAGACGGAGTTTGTTGGGACCTGGCTCTCTAGTCCAAAATTCTTACCACAAGAAGGGATTGATACAATATTTCTGAGCTGGGACCTTAAGCACAATCATTCTTTGGGATCCTCTTTTATGAGATGGGGAGAGGAAGGAAGGGAGGAGCAGCATGTAGGAGCTGGTGTATTTTGTCTTCTCATTAAAAGGAACATAGTTGGCTTGAAAATTTTCACTTTCATCTGAACTTTCTTATTATTACTGCAAAATTTGATTAAAATGGAAAACACCTTTTTCTTGCATTGAGTCCTTTTATACTGTACTATCATTTGTGTATTATAAAGGTTGCTCTTACTGTTTCAAGTACCTATAACTAAAGAAGGAGGAAAAATTATTGTGACTATTTTGACTATAAACAGAAGAATAAATGGAAAATAAGACATACAAGCAGCATCTGAACAGTCTTTTCCCTTAATGTGACCAACTGTTCTTTTTGAGGATGAATCAGATGCCTGTTCCTTGAAATCCTAGTTTTTAGGCACAGCTGAACTACTTTTTCTATGACAGAGTAGGGCATGACATTATACACTCAGTGCTGACTTTCTTACATTGTGAGCACTTGTGATCTTGTGCTTTTTCAAGGATGCATTCATTCTTTTATCTAGCATACCTTTCTCATTTGTTTCATTGGGAGCTTTTAAAAACTACTTAATTGCTCAGGATAACTGGAAGTGCTGGGCAAGCAAGTGGGATCAGCATTTCATTGCTCCTATGTTTAATATGACATAGATGTGCCTGTTTGGGGTATAGAAATCCCCAGACAGAATGTGCTGCTACAGAATTGTCGTCTTCGACTTCTGCTGGGGGCCAGGCAAGCCCAGTCCTAATCAAAACAAAAGTGGCCAGCAGGATTTGGGGAGGGAGGCTGAGGAAGGAAGTGTGTCTGCAGTGTGGGGAGGATCCGGCAGGGATCAGCCACGGGTGTCAAAGTCTGCTCAGCAGCCTCAGCACTGAGGGCAGTGTCCAAATGGGATGGAGCTGCTGGAGAGCCAGCCAGGCCTTGGCACTCACCAGCTGGGCTGCAGCATGCACAG